GGTCTGGAGAGCTCCCTCGGACCCTTGCCACGCTACCCCCACCCCCCCCCCCACAGGGCCAGCGTGGGCGAAATTGCCACCTTCTGGGGGCTCTTCTGAAGCTTTCCAAGGCTCAAAAGAGCCCCAGAAGGTGGTGATTTTGCCCCCTCCGGCCTTTGGGGGGGCTGGGTGAGCCTCCAAAGGGTCCTAGGTTGCATTCCATAAGACGGACCTCTCCATAAGGCTCACCAATTTTTAGGAGAAGGAAACAGATTTTTTTTCCTGTTTTCTTCTCCTAAAAATTTGGTGCGTCTTATGGAGAGGTGCGTCTTATGGAGCGAAAAATACGGTAATCTGTTTTGTTACTTGTGTTAAAAGAAAGAGCAGAAAAATAAATATAATCTAATATTAAGAGAATATAAACAGAAAAAATGAAAGAAATAATTTTTTTAAATGCTGTTATAGGTTCACGAAAAGGAAAAGTTACATATTTTAGTATTACAGTGGTGCCTCGCTAGACATTGACTTTTTGCGATCGCTATAGCGATTTGCAAAACAGTGGTTACTTGTGTTAAAAGAAAGAGCAGAAAAATAAATATAATCTAATATTAAGAGAATATAAACAGAAAAAATGAAAGAAATAATTTTTTTAAATGCTGTTATAGGTTCACGAAAAGGAAAAGTTACATATTTTAGTATTACAGTGGTGCCTCGCTAGACATTGACTTTTTGCGATCGCTATAGCGATTTGCAAAACAGTGATTCCTATGGGGAAATTTCGGTGGACAATGTTTGGTCCCTGCTTCGCAAACCAATTTTCGCTAGACAACGATTTTGACAGCTCCCTCCGTGCTCGCAAAACGGGTGTTTTCAGGACCTAAGCTTCACAAGACAGCTATTTAAACAGCTGACTGGCAGTTCGCAAAGCGGCTTTCCTGTGGCCAATCTTCGCTAGACAACGACGATTCTTCCCCATTGGAATGAATTAAACAGGTTTCAATGCATTCCAATGGGGAAATGCTTTTCACTAGACAATAATTTCGCTAAACAGTGATTTCAGTGGAACGGATTATCATCATCTAGCGAGGCACCATTGTATTATTAATATGGTGCTGGAAGAGACCTTTATAGATGCCTTGGGCTACTAGAAAGACAAACAAATGGGTCCCAGATCAAATCATTATTTTTGGGGAAACGGTAAATCTATTACATTTGAACCAATTAAATCAGGATAGGCTCTGTACAGCAGTAAATTGTGCCCTTGACCCTTTCCCCCTCATGGATCAAATCATTGGTGCTTCCAATATAGTGAATTCTAGATATTCATCTCCTGGGAAGTAAAACTACAATCAGAATAAATACTATATCTAATAATTTGTGACTCTTTCATGATAGCTGCTTCCAGCTGCCATTAACAAATCAATATAGATGCCTAAATTAGACTTCTAAGTTTAGTAGTTTTGGGTATCCTTTCCTATCTCAGAACCAGATATACACAACAGAAATTTAATTGTATTGTGAACACAAAGTGGAAGAAAATAGATTTAAAGCACAAGGACATAGTGGAACCTATACCCTCCAACGTATGGAAATTCAGACTGATCAACCCTCCTTTTTCTTCATATACTCTTTCTTAACTTCTACCTCAAGTAAATAAAAGATGTGAATGTCTATCTTTGATTACTGAAAAAGAAAAGAAACGTTTTCTGGGATTAAGTCTATGAAACATAACAAGATCTCCTCCCCAAATACAGAACAATTAGATTGGTTTATAACAATTAGGATACATTTTCATATGATTTATAACAAAAATATAAACGAAAACTAAAGTAACCTTTAAAATGTATTTATTTTACTGTGAGCTTTCATGGATTACTTCTTCAGACACATGAAATGCAGTGCTTAGGCCACATATTTATATACACTATATACATGGTTGTTGGGGTAGGATCAGAATGAAATGGAGAACAGAAGATGGATATAAACAAAAACTAAAGTAACTTTTAAAATTTATTTATTTTACTGTGAGCTTTCATGGATTATAGTCTACTTCTTCAGACACATGAAATGCAGTGTTTAGGCCACATATTTATATACACTACGTATATACATGGTCGTTGGGTTATGATCAGAATGAAATGGAGAACAGAAGATGGCAATAGGATTATTAATACTAAATTTTGGTACTGTTGATGAAGTGGAACATCCTGGGAAAAGGTAATGAGCTAATGCAAATAGCCTGTCTGCTGATATGCAATGGTGAGCTTCTTATCCTTGAACTGTTGAAGCAGTGACTTCTGATCTTAGTGACTTGTAGTCCATCCTTGTGTGAGATGTAGGTGACAAGCACCTCTACATCCATAGTGACTAGGATGGTGTCCCTCAAGAGACTGTGTATCTGTTGCATTTTGCTCAGGAATCCAGTTGTATCTGTTTCATTGCTGGCAGGATTGGTGGCAAATGGCTGAAGGACAGAGTTCATATACCTTGACACCCCAAGAATGATGGCGCCAATAATTGATATATTGGGCTGTTTGTGTATTTTGGCTAATAAAAGTAGTCTGATTGAGGCTCCTGTGGTGTGTCCATTTGGATTTAGTCCCATAAAGAGGAGCCTAACTCTTCTACACCACCACATTGTCCTGAAGCAGCAATGTGAGAAAAGTACCTTTGTTGTGCTTTTTCACTTTATTGGCATAATCCCAGTCAAAATAAATTGTTCCGTTTTCTACAGACACTCTGCATTTATTTTCAGTGGGTTGAAGGTACAGTCCAAAGGGCTTCTTATTTTGCTTTCCTTTCTGCAGTTGCTACAACAGCAGAGAAAAGGCAAATTATGTGTGAGGTTGGCAACCATTAGGTTGTGCTTCTATTTACTTTAGAAATCCATTTGGATTAGAGTTAGAACACAGCCAGCTTGCAACAGCGATTATCATCATCGGTCATTTGCTGTTGCTCTACTCTTGCTCTAACTATGCTGCACTGGAGGGAAAAAGCCAGCTGCTTTTGCCTGCTGGACAGCTAGAAGCCATCCAGGATCTGGCAGCAGGCAGATAGACTGTGGGGGGGGGCACTCTTTTCCCTTTCTTTCCATCAGCAACCTGAGTCAAGAGGTTCAACAGGATTCATGAGAGGGCCAGCCTTGCATCTCACGGCAAAGCAACTCAAACTGTAAACTCATTAATCTCAATCAACTCAACAGCAGAAAACATACTTTATATCTTCAGTCACCTTTCCCACTCCCAGAGCCCATGGCAGAATTTGGAAAAGTTACTCTTTTGAACTACAGCTCTCAGAATCTTTCAACTAGCTTAGCTAAGAAAACTCACAAATATTCACAGACAGTGGCCGAGCAGCTTGTGCTTTTCATTGACTAGCATTTGAAATGGGGAGTGAGGGAGGGCGATGTCCTTATATAGTTATTTGAGGTCACTGCAGTAACTGTTATCTTCCACATTTTAAAAAATATTCTATTTTCAGCTGCTTCAGAAGTTGTGTTTCATCTTTTCAGTTTTGTTAGGTTTTCATTCTTTAATAATAAAATAATATTATTAAAAATAAATAATATACTTCATACAGTTCTGTCCTTTCTCTTCTTTGAAGGTCGGGGTCTTCCAGCGACTCAGGCAGAAGTGGAAGTGATTGAACGAGCCCGAGAAAAGCGTGCCTGGGAGGCAACCCTTCCCCCATTGAATGATACTGCACACATTGCAAAAAGGAGAAGGATGATGGAGGAGATGGAGAGGAAAGAATGGGCCTTTCGAGAAGAAGAAATAGAAGAGTAAGTGCTTGATTCCATATTCTTTCCTATTCATTTCTAACTTCTATATATTCATATTTCCTGGTCCCGAAATCCACAGTGCTAATCCAGCTAATAGATCCACCACTGTCATGGTATTTTCGCTCAGACAGTTGCAGAAGAAATGTAGGGAACAACAACAGCCACTCTTTGTTCTTACAAAGGCCTTTGATTTGGTTAGCAGGGATGGTCTTTTTAAAATACTTTCCAAGATTGGATGTCCACCTCGACTCCTTAACATCATCAAGTCCGTTCATGAAGAAATGAAGGGCACTGTAATTTTTGATGGCTCAACATAAGATCCCTTTGACATCCGAAGCAGAGTTAAACAGGGCTGGGTCCTCATGCTGACCCTGTTTGGTATCTCTTTTGCTGTCATGCTGAAGCATACCTTTGGAACTGCAACAGAAGGTGTCTATCTCCGGACTAGATCAGGTGGAAAGCTCTTTAATCTCTCTAGATTGAGGGCGAAGACAAAAGTCCAGCTGAAATGCATGCAGGACTTCTTCTTTACCGATGATGCAGCTGTTGTTGCCCATTCTGCTGAAGACCTCCAACAACTCATGAATTAGTGCAGGGAAAGCACCCCAGAGGGGGACCACAGCTGTGATACAAGGATATCTGCAAGCGGGATTTGAAGGCCTTAGGAATGGATCTCAACAGATGGGAAACCTTGACATCTGAGCGTTCAGCCTGGAGGCAGGCGGTGCATCATGGCCTCTCACATTTTGAAGAGACCCTTGTCCAGCAGGCCGAGGCAAAGAGGCAATCCTGAAATCAGCAAAATCAGGGAGCTGGACATGGGACAGATAGTATTTGTCTTCAGTGTGGAAGGGATTGTCAGTCTCGAATTGGCCTTCTCAGCCACCCTAGACGCTGATCCAAGTCCTCCATTCAGCGCACGTTACCATAGTCTCTTGAGACTGAAGGATGCCTAATCAGTCACTTCCTGGTCCCACTAGCTTGGGCCTACTGCCAAGAAAGTGCCCATCTGTCCCTTTCTTCCAGTGTGTTTACAGCCAGTGAAGATTTGCTTGGTTTCCTCTCAGACAGCTGAAATGTTTAGTCCCTATGAGAATCTAAAATGTCATAAGATTGTGCCATTATTGTATAAAAGTCTTACATTATGTGACCAAGCAAGCTACTTACAGCCCACCAGCCATACTGTATGGGCTACTGGCTCACTTTTTGTGTCCTCACTTTTTGTTTTCCACCTGCAGATGAGGAAGAAAAAAAAAAAGTCAAATGTTGATCCTTGCATGGGCCACCTTAGTGGACCATTGGGCATACCTCAGTGCTTCAGGATTCTTACTGCAGATTTTCATGCAATTCAGCACAAACTATGATCTCATTAACATGTTCTCCTTTTGTTCAACAGATTAGAACCACATAGTCTGAACTCAGCCCATAGTCAAATACTTTGGCCTTTAAAAATGCTTAAGAAAAGTAAACCATTCCAGGCTGCTCAGGCTATTTTAAGAAGGGTGAGAAAGAAACAGGAAGCAGGGCGTGAAGAATATCTATTTCTATAGCCCTTTCCTGACATCATATTTATACCATACAAACATAAAATATTATCATTCTGTGTAAATACAAAGGTCATACTTTGTTGTTTTGTAAGGTTAGGCTAGTATTGTGAAAATATATGATATGTGTAGGTGTGATTTTACAATTTTTTTCTGCAAGAAACCATCAGAGCTTAGCTGTGATGGCAAATGAAGTAAACCTGATGGCAGCAGGCTCCTCTGTCAAAACTGGGTCTGCCAACAAGTCCATGTGAAGTTATTTAGGGAAGACTTTGGGTGGAATTTAAGGAAGCTGAACCATCTGCTTCTCCACAGGTTCTGTTTGGAACTAAAGAACCAAGTTGGTTCTGAAGCATCTAAAGTTGAATGTAAATCCAGAAAATACAACTGGATCAAAGTGCAATCCTACACCTGCATATCTAGGAAGAAACCCCACAGAACTTAGTGGAATCTAGCCCTGGGTGGACACTGATAAGATTGTAGGTTGACAAATTCTGTCTGCAACACTGTCACGGCTGTTGCAGCACATTGGAAATATATGTAATTGTTTTTTAAGCACCAATTTTAAATTATTTTTATAAACAATTTATAAGAATGTAAAGTACTTAATTTTTAATTGAAGTAATTTTATAAAATTATTCTGGAATTACTTTTTACTAACTTTTAAAGACTTTTTAAAAAATTGTAATAGAAATTAATGTTTCCAATATTATCTTTGTCTATACTTTAGATTCTGAAATTTAGAATGAAGTTAGCCTTCCTTGGACTGTAATCTTAAACATACTTTCTAAGGTGTAAACTTGATTTCATCTACATAAAGAACTCAGGGATATTTACTGAAGTATGACAGTATTAATAATATAATAACTAAATATTAAGCTCATCAAGAAAACATAGGATCAGCATGATCTCCACAAATGTTATTTTGGCGCCTTATTATTTTCCAGAAGCATGAGTAATTCAGATGAGCAGTGATGTTTGGACTTTTTAAAAGACATTCTTGTTTCTATATTCTTCATTTTTTAAAGACTGCAAGAAGTTAGACTAGAACTTTTAAAGGCTCTGCTGAGGAAACGGGAAGAGAACCACAATGAGCTAAACGTCAGTCGCTTAGATACTCACTGGTTTAACCTCATGCGAGAAAAAGAAGAGAAAGTTAAAAGGATGCAGCATGAACATATAAAAGGTAACAGTGCTGAGGAAGAGAACTAGACAAGTATATACTTTCCCAAGGTATGGAAACTTCTTTAATCAAGACACCAACTCTTCTGTTTATGAAAAAGACATGATCAAGCCACACTGAACTAGGGGTGGGGGAGGTGAAACTCAAGCCTTATTTTAGAGGCCTGAAAGTTTGATATAGATTTGCAAAGGCTTTCATGGCCAGGATCTAATGGTTGTTGTGGGGTTTTTGGGCTCTTTGGCCGTGTTCTGAAGGTTGTTCTTCCTGACGTTTCGCCAGTCTCTGTGGGCATCTCACAGCCATAAATACTCAACTCCCAAACAAACTGCACCAGAGCACAGAGCGCTGTCCTCTGAAGATGCCGGCCACAGAGACTGGCGAAACGTCAGGAAGAACAACCTTCAGAACACGGCCAAAGAGCCCGAAAAACCCACAACAACCATTTGATATAGATTTTCATTCAGGAACTTAACCTTATGTAACATTCTGTTTCAGCAATCAGAAAAATAATAGCTAAGGGGAAAAATGTGGAAGGAAAACTGGAGAGAAGAAATATCATCAAAGAATACACTGAATATGGATCACAACCTTATGCTCCTCTATCAAGAATTGGTTACTTTCCAGATAATCATGCTGATCGCTATATAGTGAAGAACCACTTTCTTAGCACCTATGAAGGTAGGCCATGTCAAGGAAATCTTCTAGCATGCTTACTCGTTTCCAGAACCCATTTGGGCTAGGAAAAATGTGCAGAAATTTGTCCCACGTGGCAGAAGCTTAGTTTCATGGCCATCTCGTTTATATTATAGAAATCTCTCCTCCATTAAAGGGAGAAGCTGTTGGCATATGAAAGAGCTCCATTGGTATGTTTGTCCCCAACAAAATAAAGTCAGATCAAGGGCATGAACTCCCTTATGTCATATTCTAATTTCTCTATTTCCCTCTACCACAGTACTCCCATTCTACTTTTTTTTTTAAAGGATTACTTGAACTGGAGGCATCTCTTCCTGCCTCAGTCATCCATCCTCGAACTGAAGCGCCAAAGCCCCGGAGCACCACCACTAAGGATGGGTTTACGAAACGATCTGCCAGACTAGAGATGGAACTGGCACAGGTTTACCAGGTATTCTGGCTTAGGTTAGGCTGTTTTAACCTTTCCTGCCTAAAATCTATTTCGTTTGTTCTGAACAACAAAAATGCTAAGAAAAAAATGATTTTTTTTTGGAGAGAATTTGCAAATTGGTGTTTTGGTTTCTAATGCTCAATAGGTAGTACTGCTTTTTGTTGTTGTTTTTGCCTTCATCCCTTCTTTCCTTTTCATAGTTAAGCAAGGAATATAAAGTTTTTATCTTCTTTTCTCCAGTCCCCCACTTCTGTCTTCTTTTCAACAAATTGGGACAATATGGAAAAGGTCTAATTCTGATCTATAGAAAGTATGATCAATTTTAAATTTTTTCTACAAATGCAGCAAAAGTATATGCAGGGAAGCTGCATGCTAAATAAAAGAAAGGATTTTGGAGATAGTGGGTGAAATCTGAAACTCCTCCCCTGTCCTGTGGCCCTAAGCTGCTTCTTCACAATGATGGGGATTCCATGGGAGCCTCAGGGCCTTGGGGAGGGGGAAGAGCGGGATTGGAAAGTTTTAATTTCTTAAAAATTGCCACCTGTAGCTCTGCAGACAGGATTTCAGGCCAATTGGCCACTTGGCCACTTCCTTACATATTTCAAATTTCTATTCCAGATACTTCAAGATAAAAAGAATAAAATTAAGGAACCACCCACACCACTTCGTTTCCTTCAGAAGACATCGAAGGCCGTTGGTCGTCCTGCCACTCCAACGTTGGAAGAACCTTCTGTGGTAGGTGCAGTTTATGCCCAATTGTTTGTCATCCCTTCACCTAGACCCAAAATTGCATCACGAGGCTCCTTTTTGCATCACAAAAGTCTCATTTACTGGCTCCCTGAGAATGGCAAGGAGCCTTGCTGCTAAAAATTGCTGCTCGTTAAATTACATGAATGGTGGTTAGAGTACTAGAGACAACTTAAACTATTCGGCATAGAGCATATTATCTTGTTATCCATTTTTAAAACTTGGCAAGGATCGCTCTTTCATGCCATTGGCAGGTCTTCACTGAAAGTGGAATTAGCCAGTTAATGAATGTTTTACGTATATGGCTTTTTTTGCCTAATGCTGCAGAGCAGGTTGCTGTTTTTCAGAACCTGGATATCTAAACTTTTCTATTGCCCTGTCCCAACAAGTCCTGCTACTCCGAAGGAAACAGTATTTCTTTTTCACTTCCAGATTTTTTTTCTCTGTGAAATAAATTTTGAATTTCGAAAACTGTGCCTTTCCACAGGCTTGCTCCTAGGCTTTTTGGCTAAGATCAAGTGTAGTATCACTTTGCTTCTGGGCTAATTCTCTTTTGAATTGAAGACCAAACTTGGAAAAACAGTGTTGTTTCCTGCTTTAAAGTGTAGCTTACTGAAAGAATCAGGGACCTGGTGCACTGGGGATTTCCTTCATGTCTCATTATCTGCCAAGAGGCTTGTCTTTGATCATGGAGGAGCACCTTGTGGCCCTCTGGATGCTGCTGGACTGTTGCTGGACCACTCATCCTAACCCCCATAGCTCAGGCAAAATGGAGGATGGGATGCAATCCAACACCTTCTAAGAGGACCACAAGCTGTCCAGCCCTCCTTATACTCATCTTTCCCCTGTTCCCTATTTTTTTTTACCTGTCAAATTAGGAAGAAGCTGTTGCTAGACTGTTGATCCCAGTTTGCCACTGCTAAATGCAATTGGTATTTTATTATGTTGCCTGTTTTATTGCTTTTTATTATTGTTCCATTTATTTATGATATTGTCTTTGGACAACTACATTGCATTGCACATGGTTAACTGTGCAACAGGCTTCGGGCTTGTGTCTTCTCCTCAGTGTCTTCCTATACAAAGTCAATTGACATGACAAACTATTTTGCTCTGTTTTGCAGATAGATGAAGAGAGAGAACTATCTGTGATTACACTACAGAAGCTAATCCGAGGCAGAGCTATTCAGAACATGGTATATTATGGGCCTTATCCATCATGTCCTTTTAAATTCTTCAAGGATTAATATTAAGATCTTTGAGTTAAGGGCAGAAATTATATCAAACTATGGTTTGTGTTAAATGCCACGCATCCTCCAGATCTGAGCTTGAGCTTCCAAATCCACTGCCAATGAGCTACTTCCAAGAACTGCTTCTCTATGTTAATCTTTTGATTTTGGTCATGAAGCAAAAACGATGACACCAAGGCTATTGTGCTTTGTGCATGTCAGAAGAAGTCAAGATTTATTGGAGAAGACAATGCTCAGAAAAGTGAAGGTAGCAGGAAAAGAGAAAGGCCATTTGGAGGCCACTCATTCATAGGGTCACCGTTAAGTGAGGTAACTCAGTGGTCCACAAGAACAACAAGAAAAACAACAGAAGGTCTTTACTGAGTTGTACCTTGTATTTGGAATTGTCCTGGTAGACAGTGAGGCTGTTAGTATGAAGGCAGAACTACAGCTTGTAACAGCCCCTAATCAACAGTCTCCAACGTACTGAGCCCCTTGAAGTGGGAGGTCTGAAATATCCTGTGACACCTGGGATGTCTTTTCAAGAACTGCAGGATCATAGCCTTAGTTAGGAGTAGGCTGCTGAAGATCTTAAAATGGCAACTGCTTTATTTTCTGTAGTCATTTGTTCCTTTTATATGGAAGCATACACTTAAAAAAAAAGACTAAAACAAGTTCAGTGGAAGAGAATATTTGGTATTACTGTTCTTTTTATTCTTTAATTTTCTGTTATTCCCTAATTTGAAAACAGATGTTTGAGGGGAAGGAAAAGAGGTTAGAACTGATCCGTGAGTTACGCACTACTCATGCACTCCAGGAGGATGGGCAGCTACTAAAGAAAGCTGAGAAGCAAGTCACATTGGCCTTGCAGCGGCAGCGAGATTTACATGAACACAAGGTTTGTGTATAAACCTAGACGGGATTCCCCCAGGGCCTCATTTCAGTTCTGCCCTCTCTTGCCTTCTACAAAATATGTCGAATAGAACCTGAAGGAAGCATCCTCAAACTATGCAAAGTGCTTACTCATGGAATAAGAAGTGCGTTCAAGATAGAGCTCACAAGAAGGTTCAGGTCAAGAACTTGGCACTACACATTATAGCTGGAGGGCTGGGCTGACACCACAATGCTAACTTCTTAAGTGAAGTTATCTGTCGGATCCTTACTTGGCGGAACACCTACTTCCACCAAGGTTCTTAAGTGAGGTTACCTGTCGTGTCCTTTGTGGAAAATTATCTAGGATGCTAAAAAATTATAATTTCATTATTTCACATTAGAATATTCTCTAAGCACTTTGCAGCCAAGAAGTAGCAAGTAAACTTAATAAGTAAACATTCCTTTTTAAAAAAATTACCAGTTGTTTGCTACTTGCAAAAAGAACATTGTTGCCCATCATTATCCCTGGGAAAAACAGAGCTGGGAAATACTGTATTGGGCAGTTATGCCATGTGGAGAAAAGGTGTAAAACCTGTACTGTCTTGCATACTGCACTGTTTCCCTGAAAATAAGACAGGGTCTTATATTAATTTTTGCTCCAAAAATGCATTAGGGCTTATTTTCAGGGGATGTTTTATTTTTTTCATGTACAACAATCTACATTTATTCAAATATAGTCATGTCATCATCTTCTGGTCACTGCCCAAGGGTGGAGGGCAGGTGTTTCACTTAACTGGGGCTTATTTTTGGGGTAGGGCTTATATTACAAGCATCCTGAAAAATCCTACTAGGGCTTATTTTCAGGTTAGGTCTTATTTTCAGAGAAACAGGGTATCTGGTATCTGCTACAGGAACTTCATATTAAGCTAAGAGAACCAGAGGGATTTCAAGAATAATAACGTTAACAACTTTTTAGTCTCGCCTTGAGGTGAGGTTCTGGTGCTGAATCCCAAAGCTGGAGACTGATGTCTGTGAAAGAGAAAATTGGAAGAAGAGAACCTCCAGCCCACCAAGGCTTTGGAGATGCTCCCTGCCTTTCTCAGGACCCACCCCCTGGTGAAAAGAAATTGCTGCACACATGGCACATTTTCCCAATCAAGAAGACAAAGGGGGGCAGTCAGTTACTTCTTTCCTGTTTTATTGTGGTGATATGAAGAAGTATTTGTAGAGCTATTTATTTTTCAATGTGGAGAAGCCTAGATTGGGAAGGCTAGCCCAGAAGAGTATATTTGTCTATTTACTTATAAACAAACAAACAAACCCAAGGCAGCTCCCAACAATTAAAATCGTACAATAATAGCAAGTTAAAAATACACTACAGAACTCTAGATTAAAAACAAGTAAACACTGGCGAAGATTAAAAATAGTTTTGAAAAACAATTTAAATAATTTAAAGAAATGTTGAAATAAATGACATAGCATAACAGATATATTAATAGAATATTCTTGCATTGGTTTTATTTAGATGTCTCTTATTGAAAAGCATTTGGCTCGGCTGGAAGGGAGAGTCCTTGCAAATATGTTGGACTTCTTATCCAAAGAGCTAATAAGGCTACAGGAGGAGCGGAGGATCCATGCATTTGCCATGTTAGCTGAAAGGCAACGCCGAATGCGGGAAGCAGAGGAGAGTGGACGACGCCAGGTGGAAGAGAGGCGCAGACGTGAGGAGGATGAGATCTTTCGACAGGCATGTGTCAAGAGACCTAGTCCCAGAACGAAAAGAACCATGAACCTGTTTGTGGGGCAATTGCATTTGCCTTGATTTTTCACTAGGATGGTGATGATGATAATAGTTATTGCACTAGTCCATAGACTTTTAGGATGTTTCATTAATGGGGTTTTCATCATGTAATAGTCATGCGGTTATTTTTTTTTCAAATGTACATGATGGTTTATGGAGATAGAATATAAAATTTTCTCTATGCATTTTGCAGCCTCTGCTGCAAATAAAGCAGCATTTTTGTCACATGTCACTTTGACCCTTGAAGTGGGAAGCTCAATTTTTCTTTCGCTTCTCAAAAATTCCTCCTCTTTAACAAGAGAATATTTCAGTAGTCTATCATACTCTGTGTTCATATTTGACGAGGCGGTGTTTCTGTGTGGGGTGTGAGAAGGAAAGGTCAACACAACAAAAGCAACAACAAATCATACAGAGTCTCTGTTCAAGGGGAAATTATTCACTATTCTTGGCATCAAGGAGAAACAATAGAACAGAATACGCCACCAAAGAGGTCTTGTTCCATTAAGTTAAGGGCAAAGGAATTGTGTAAAACCTTAATAGCACTTTGTTCTCACTGAAGTTTTAAAAAAATCTCACAAAATCTGGTTTCAGACACATTGGAAAGGAGTGTTGAAAACTCAAAGCCTGATCGCCACAATGAGTGGTAGAACTCTGTTTTGGCAATTCCAGACAGCAGGACTTCTTTAGAAATACCCACAGTATACGTAACTTGCAGTAGAAAAAGCTCATGTGAACGGATACTAAGAGAAATGTTCAATGTCTGGGTTTTTGTCAGGTTGTCAAGGTGCACCAGAGTACTGTCGATTCCTATCTAGAGGATGTCATCTTGAACAGCATGGAAACTACAGCTGAAGAACAAGCCAGAGAAGAGATTCAGAAAGTAGCAGTGGAGATTAATAATATTGCTTATGAAATGGAATCACGGTATGGATTTGATCATTGCAAAAGATTATTTCTGATGATGGGTATTTTGGCTGCTAGCTCAGATGGCTTAAAGGGAGATTAGACAGACATCCATGGAGGAAGGTTCTTTTAAGAATTGTGCAAGGAAGTATTACTTAAGGCAGCTAAATGAAATCTCTGTGTTCAGAAGCAGCAAATATGAAAATAACACATATTTCAGGTAGGCAAACGTAAGAGTAGTTAACTTGTGATTTCTTAGACTCCAGATATGAGTCCAGTGAGAAGAAAATATGCAGGGAATGATTACAAGTGGAGGGAGGTGTCTTTGTAGAGATAGGAAGTCTCGTTGAGCTCAGTGGAGCTTAATGGCAAGTACATATCACAGTTTTTAGTCACCGGAGCCAATTAGTATCAAATTTGATAGAAATCCAGTGTAGTGTGTGGTGGACAGAATGGTGGGTTAAGGCTCAGGAGACCAGAGTTCAAATCCCTACTAAGATATGAAAGCTCATCAGTGGGATGGTGTGAGGAATTGCTAAAGCCACTCCTTAAATATCCTGCCTACCTTGAAAGCCCTATTAGAGTAGCTGTAAGTCTGTTCTGACAATGGCATGTGACATACACACTGTAAATGTGTAAATTGCTTATTTTTTTCATTTGCATGATTAATGAATTTCTCGATTGCAAACAAAGGAACTGTCCACCTCTAGCTGGAGCAGTGTCCCAACATCATCTTTAAGCCATTCATCTTTCAGTGATAATGTCTTTGGACTAGTTTTGTGGGGTAGAAACAGAGAATTAGAATTTCACCTAATGAAATAAAGGTTAATTTGATAACTTTTCTGAAATATTTATGCTCAGGTAGCAGGCTGAATTTCAGTTCTTTGACTGAACCATTGTTTCTCCTCATTCCTATGATGAGACAATATGTTTGTTAATACTTAGTCAATTCTCTTGCAGCAGTAACATAGCAAATACTCTGGGTTTAGAAAAGGTCATTAGAAGATAACTTTCAGCCTTGTAGGTGGGTTTAAGTTTAAAGAAATATATTAGAATGAACCAGCTAATATAGAAAACGTTAACAAAGAAACTTTCAACTATAATAATAGTGTTATTTGTGATAAACAGTGCTTGTCTCCTCAAACAAACTTTTTGTACCATTCTGTAAACTGCAAAATCCTATAATTGTGGAGTTGGGGTACCAGAACAAAAATGGTGCATTAAGGAAAATTAGTCTGCGTGCATTATTTGGGAGGTCTAGTGAGACTTTACTTATCCTTATGAGCACATGTAATAAAGATTCCTCACGAAAAGCTCTTGATGTGAAAGAGCAGAGGATCTAAAATGGAGAGGAAAAGTGCAGGGCAAAACAAGAGGAACTTTTTAACACATATGATCTTCTCTGTAGACGAACTCACCTGCAGTCTGAAGAGATTGTGGCAGAATTGGTTTATAGCTTCCTGATCCCCGAAGTACGGAAAATGGCTGTTAAGGAGAAAGGTGAGAAATGTGGATACTTTGATTCTTGAGGATGCTCTGCATTCTGATTACCTGAGTTAAGCATTCAGCCACAGGATGATACTAAGCAATGTACAGATTTCAGAGTAGCAGCCCACTTGGATGACATTCTAGAGTACAAGCACTTTTTCAGGCAATTCAGAACAATGCCCATGGCCATGACGCCAAACAAGTTTGCTTAAAAACTCATACATTCAGAACAAATTATTATTAAAAATCACATAATTAAATTTATGGGAAATGACTACTCAGTCTAGGTTTGTCGTCGTTTTCCTCCCAAGAAGCAGGTGTCTTTTAATTTCGTGGCTGTTGTCACCATCTGCAGTGATCATGGAGCCCAAGAAGGTAAAATCTGTCACTGCCTCCATATCTTCCCCTTCTATTTGCAAGCATTCAGCCACAGGATGATACTAAGCAATGTACAGATTTCAGAGTAGCAGCCCACTTGGATGACATTCTAGAGTACAAGCACTTTTTCAGGCAATTCAGAACAGTGCCCATGGCCATGACTCCAAACAAGATTGCTTAAAAACTCATACATTCAGAAAAAATTAGTATTAAAAACCACATAATTAAATTTATGGGAAATGACTACTTTGGGGTTCATCCAGTCCAGCCTTTCATGTGATGGATTCTGCATAGAAGTTAAATAAGCAAGGAGACAATATACAGCCTTGTTGTACTCCTTTCCCAATTTTGAACGAATCAGTTGTTCCTTATCCAGTTCTAACTGTTGCTTCCTGTCCCATATATGGATTTCTCAGGAGATAGATATGGTGATCAGGCACTCCCATTTCTTTAAGAACTTGCCAGATTTTGTTGTGGTCCACACAGTCAAAGGCTTTTGGGTAGTCAATGAAGCAAAAGGAGATGTTTTTCTGGAACTCTCTGGCTTTCTCCATAATCCAGTGCATGTTAGCAATTTGGTCTCTAATTCCTCTGCCCCTTCGAAATCCAGCTTGTACT